TCCAGGGAGAAATAATCTTCAAGTCTCTTTGTTAAAATTTCACCCTTCCCTATCAATAGCTCTTTCTTTCCGCAGACACAGACTTTTATCTATACATGGAGACCAAGTGATTCTGTCTTTCTTAACAAATCCTTTAATTACAGTACAAATGTTTAACCACCGGAAATTAAGATCCTCAATAACTGTCATAGAAAAAGAACAGCTCTGCAAAGTCATCCAATGCAACACCTCAGCTAATTCAAGATCAGTCCTTATATCCGGGACTGTATATGCTCCCCTGAATTATTTGTTGATAAATGACTGAAGTAATGCAAGTTGCATCACTTATTTTTTTTATTATTATACTCTTGTATGTTCAGAGGTGAGCCATTTAATAATCAGTCTCGCCAAACCCACTGTTATAACTAATCGGGCACCAAATTTACAGTACTATATCATAAGCATACTTCTCCCCCAAAATGTCCTACAAAACTGAACGTCTCAAATACCTCATATTGCTAACAGGAATCCAAATTCTGCATAGGTAGTTCTGCAAAAGCATATGCCCCCCACCTCTCCCAAACTCATCTGCAAGAATTAGCTTCTATGTCAAGGTTTAATGGGCTTTTTTATCTAGTCCTATCTTAACTTTACTTACATCGCTGGCGATGTCTCTTGAAGCTTTAGCTGTCTGGAATGGGATGGCATCCAACCTAAAATCGTAGCCAAATGCCCTTGTTTGTTCCCAAGATGTTTTATACATTTTCTGTGTTAAAAAGAAGAGACAACAGTCATTTCCCCTGTCTCCTAAACCTAGTTTGGTAGCTGCAGTAACGAATGTTTTATTCTACGGGGCACTTTTCACTCTGGATTCATCCTGACAGGCTCCAAAGATTTGAGATCAGGTTCCACAGCACTTCGGTTTCTTTTGTGCTAACCATAATGATTAAATCTCTCCTGCTTGCATTCGCGCCCCAGGATGCTCTTGGCATTTGCATGTGGATTGGCTTTGGTTTGATTTAGTTTCTATTAGAAACTATGAGGCATCAGCTACATCAATATTGCATCTGCATTGCCCTTATTCTGTCTTACGATGCATCCACTTGCAGTGCCTTGGGTTTCACAGCATCAGAGTTTCAGTGCCTTGAGGTTTTGTAAGCAGTTTTTTCAAGCTTCGCTGTTTCAGTCCTGTGCCATACGTGGTTTCATTAACTCATCTAGTATAACAACAGCCTGTAACATATTGGGTGCGACTGTGAGGATGTGAAGTGCATGCTCATGTTGCAGAGAGTGCTCTACATCTGGCTGTCTTCCACGTAGTGGCATTTTTGTGATAGCTTCCAGGGTGGATGCGATCTATTGTCAGATCCTCTGTACTAACTACATAATGACTAGATCTGATTCCTTTAAATCTCAGGTGGCACTTCTGTTCTGCCTCTTCTGTTTTCATTCACCTGCTCCCTGTGAATCGATAGTCTAGTTTTCCTCACGTACGCTGCCATCTGAACGCAGTGCCAACATCTATTTCGGATTCTAACGTACATTCGTATAGGACTTATTTTTTGTAAGTGAATTTGATACTTGTGACAAGTGAAGAAGCTTCAAGTCCTGTCTGTACCGAGAGAACAGGTGCAGCATGGGTAGCAGCGGTGCAAACTCAAATGGCTGGCCATCCAGAGGGGCCGTAGTCCTGGCGCAGCCTCTATGCCACGGGCAAGCAATTATTTCGGGCGGAGGGACGCTTACTGAGTTTTGGCAAGCCATCGAGGGCTGCATTACAAGCAGCCAGGGGCAGAAAAATATTAATTTTCTAAATTTTTTAGGGGCCCCGCGGGCCAGATAGAATGGCCTGATGGGCCGCATCTGGCCCACAGGCCGCATTTTGCCCACCCCTGCTCTATGCCCACTCGGCTCTTTGCTCCTCTGTGAAGGATTCGGACAAGGATGCTAACTAGTGGAAACTGAGACCGTCCTTTTTAGGTGCAGACCACTCGGACCGGACTGAGACCACCAATTCCTTTTACTCGAATATCTTCAGAGCATGGTCCCTGTGGGTCATTACCAGCCTGGGGTCTATCAAACCTCCCAATGAAATGTGAACAGGGTGAGCTGTAGTGTTTCCCCCACATCCTGAAGTGGTCCATTTGTATTAAATAACTCTCAGGTTGTGCTGTTTGCTATCAGCTCGATACAGCTATCAGTCTTTGCCTGTCATCCTTTTTTTTTTTCCTAACCTGTCAAAGCTTTTTACTGTGAAACTGAGAGTCTTTATATGACATATAGGTCCTTTGATTTGGAACCCCACGCATCATCCTCCTCTCTCTCAATGTGAATAGTTTTGTCCTCATCCTCACACATTATATTCATTGGATTTGTACTTATCTCCACAGCTTTAAAATAGCCGTGCCTTTTTGTGCGCTGTAAGGTCAGCCTGCCTCAACAGCCTCCCATCTGCAATACTTGAATCAATTGGGTATAAACCACAAACAATTTGATGTTTAATGAGAGACTCCCACGATCTCCATATCCCCATGCAGTGTGAGTTCAAACACAGACTGATCCACATTAGTGTCTGGAGAAGAAATGTTACATGCAGGCCTGACAATGTGTGATTTGTCAGGACAAGGCAATTCTGATCCAGCTGCAGTGGATCTAGCTCACTTTTTTGCCTTAGCCCCAAGTGAGAACATTTCCAAATTGGCAGCACTTCCTCCCAATTATTGTAGATAAGAAGGGGTGCACTTCTGTAACTCTTTAATTGGCCTTCCAGCCAGATAGCCTTTCTACAGTTTAACCCAGCTGTCTCTATTAAGGCTTCAATTAATAAAACAAACAACATCTCACATTCACACAGCAAAAAACCCAAAGCACCGTGCAAACTAATCCGCACCTAAGCATCTCTTCTCTCCTGCTAGAGGCTGTATAATCATGCAGGGCATTAGGACACAATAATTCTCCGGTAGATACTGCCCATAATCCCTAGACACAATCCATTTCGCCAGCATCACTTGATGGATAAAGCTGCTCATACAGAAATGACCAAGGGCTTGAAGGACCAATTCAGGACACAAGTATGGAGAAGCACGGTCCCATTCACCGCTCTGGTTCTGGATATACCAAACTCTGAAATAAAGTGGCTAAGCCATCCTGCTGGCACTCCGCACTGTCCTGCATACTGAAGACAGAAAGCGGGGGCAGGATTGCCTCTGCACTACCTCATTTCCAGGTTTAGCCTGGGCAGAGTGGGAGTAGATGGGGGACCATGTTTCTAGGTGGTGCACTCAGGTGCATCAGGGAAGCGGCTTACACAGACTGAAGCCCGCCTTATGAAGAGGAAGAATAGACTGCAAGAGAGAGCAGCATCGTTTATTCCAAAGCTGATTTGTTTCTAATGTGTCTAATAAGCAGACCTAGAAACCAGAACTACTTCTGAAAGGGAAGAGAAAAACCATTCACTGGTCAATAAAATGGTACTGTCTGCTAAACCATCTCCTGACAGATCTACGCCTGTTGTTTGAGTCCCATTTTTCTCATTTTCGTTTGGGTTGACCAGAGAACCTTGATTTTTCACTTCTGATCCCTATTATGCTGCCCCATTTGCTCTTAATTCAATCACCTTAACTTAAAAGGATCTGTCACTTACATCACTGATATGAAGTGCATTCAGACGGGCTCTTATGAAATCTGGGTGGTCGGGAGGCAAGGTGTATCTGTGCCGTGCTTCAGAGTCTCCAGATCTGTACAGTCTCTGTCAAATCAAAAAGTATCTAGTGTTACTGGAGAACTGGGAGCAGCATTAAAGACAAGTTAACAGCAGTTAAAGTCAAATAAAACATACATCGCTGCACTGGATGTAGCTGTGCTTGGCATGGATCAGATCCGGTGAGTCCACCACTGCAGTGAACTTCAGGCTGTCTGGCTTCTGGCGGTACCTTGTCTGCATGTGAAAAAGCAGGAGACTTCTGTTAGGTGGGGATGCAGACGGGTTACATATGTGGGACAGCAAGAACAAAGCGAACAAGGAAAAGCCTCGTGACGAGACAATGGCGTTAAAAACAAAATTATTTCACGTTAGCTTCAGCCACTATTTTAATGATGACGACCCTCTTGTCATCATTAAAATTTGAACCCCCCCCCCCCCCCTTCAAATATGTCTCTGCAAACCGGACTTGGCACTAAAAAGATCACGTCAACAGATCTCAATAACGGTAATTAGGATCGATACACAATTTTTCTCAAATAATCAATGCTGCCGACTGAGCTAATCCACCATCCGACTTGACTGCCACCGTTATGCCTAAAAGCATGATGCAGTTTAAAAAACCCAAGATCACCTGCTTAGCATTCCATCACAGCGTCGACTACATTTATTTATTGCTACCTGGTTTGGGGGTTTTTTTTTAGAGTTTCAGTTCATTTTGAATAGGAAATATGCAGGGGATGTCACAAGTGGACTTGCATCTCCTGTGCCACTTCTCGGTAACGTACACCTTGTATAAACAGGCTCCCGCATCAAAAGGAACCGATCAGCTACACTCGTAAGTGTCATGTAACGAGGAGCCTTGATGGTAAACAATTCCTACAGACGTGCTACCCCATGAAAGATTTATCAGTACCTCGCTGATGAGCTCGCCAGCCTTCTTCACAGCTTCTATCTGCGGAGATCTCAGAGCCGTCCAACCAACTCCTTTCATGAAGTTCAGGTCGGATTTATAGCGATGCTGTTAAAAATGAAATTGGTTAGCTTTTATCAGTTTTGCATCCACAGCTATTAGGGTTTATTAAAAAGGCTCCCTGATTCATATTAGCGTCTCGGCTTTTTCATTTGCCATGCATATATCACATCATAAAGCCAAACTGTTTGCATTTGTTCATTCCACCAGGAATTAAATAATGTATCATATGCAAGTTGCAAGAGAAGGCCCCACAAGTGAATTAGCATGACTCAAAGCAGAAAGTAATAACCTGTTTGTACTCGGCGTAAAAGAGCCCTTTTTAAAATCATTTTCTGAGGTAGGTTCAACTCAAGAATACTAATTATTTTATCCAGCACTTGTTTTCTCATTAACCCCTCTTTCTGAGATGACAGCGGTATTCTGCTCTACATTGTGTAGAGCCGTGATCTAAGTTTCATACTAGACAAGAGAAATGGGGGAACACAAATCAGTCCCGGTGGCTGTAGCAAGGGGGATGTGAACCCAACTCCCTGGGTTTTGTTTCAGACTGGCTGTGACTCACTGTGGAGCCTTAGCCAATTCACTTAAATGGTCTGTACCACAAATCCCCAGATGTAGGATGGGAATCATGGTTATTTCATTCAAAGGAGTGCTGCAGAGCAATCAGACTTATCTAGGCTCTTCAGCTGCAAAATGTTATTCCTGCTAGATGGCAGATGGGCCAGGAATCTCCATCAGTGAGCGTCCTAGATCAGTGACTATCTTCATGGTTTCGAGGCACCCTTCAATTGGCCCGAGAGGCTCCTCTGTAACTTTTGTGAAATAAGTGGCCTCGAATTTCAAAAATTAATTGACAGATTACAGTGCTTACCTCCTTGCAGAAGGGCCTGGCAGTCAAAATGGGGGACGAACCTGAGCCTGCACTCATCTGCTTAGTTGAGCTCCTTATCTCCTAACATCTGACAGCACCCTTCAAAAGATCTGGCAGCACCCTGGCTGCGAATCACTGTGCTTGATTCTTGCAATACAGCATTTGACTAATCTGGGTGACATGCCTTGTAAAGTCTTTCTATGGATGATTTACAACGTCTCTAATTACACAGAGCCAAATCCTGAGGTCCTTATTCATAGTTTACTCAACCCTTACCAGGCAAACTAAGAGTTTCAATGGCAGTTTCCCGGTAAGGACACAGAGCTAAGACAACGGGAATGTTATCTTCCTGTACTGCAAAGGACGGCGCTTTGATCAGCACAATATCCACCCATATGAAGTCGACAAAGCCTGTTTTTCTCCCCATGTGATCTCTAGTTGTTAACACCTGTGCCTGACTGTGGGGCTGTCAAAGCGGTGCAGAGAGACATGGATAGCGCCCCTCACCACATTGCGAAGCCCCATGCCAATGGTTTATTTTTTATTTGGGGAGCCTGGAGTTTTCTCTGGCAACACTTTTCCTTTCTTTCCACTCTGACAAAGAACAAAGACAATTGGATACATTTAAAACACACAGAGAAAAACCCAATAGGGATCTTTCAATCGAATCATTGGCTTTCATTTGAAGAGATGAAGTACATAGGAGGTTTTCAAGGTGCCTTTTGTTGCAATGAAGAGTACAGTTTGGATGTTATATTCCATGTACTGTGAGTGAGAAAGCAGGATGCTAGGTCTCCAGTGCTTTGATTACTGCTCAGACTCTCACAAATGGACTGCCTACTAATATTTCTTCATTGAGATCAGCTGAATCTAACAAATATCCTATCATTTGATCTATCAATAAAATCCTGAGTTCAACAAAAATTAGTTCCCTGAAGACGTGTTAAGAATTTGTCCAATATTGTTTAAGGCTCTCTTTTCTTATGCAACGCAAAGCCATCTTAAGGAGCATTAAGATGTGTAGTTTTTACTTAAAGAAGGCTTTTGGGTCCACAGTGTCAAAATAGAGCTATTTGTACACAGGCAACTTAATATATGCAGTCACCTATGCACACATCTTTCCATGGCATATGTGAACAACGGAGTACAGCTCCAAAAGCACCAAGTAAAACGGCGCATCCTTTATGCAAGGAAAAAGATGTTCAAATCTGAATGCATACTCTCACCATGTAATTTGTACTCATACAACCAGAGTGGGTTGACTGGAAATGTGGCCCTGCTTGCAAAACAGCGTCCAAACATGACACTCAAAATTAACCTCTGAATATGCAGCCTCCTTCCCAACATCACATTTGTGCAGGGTGACAACGTTGTGCCTCAAGCCTCCTGTTTGTGTACATAATCACAGGTTTTGCACCCGTGTGTGCAGGAGTCTACAGGCTCATTTAAGCCAAAACATCATTTTGGGGGTTGCATCAGTCCTATGAGGTTATTCTATCACGCTGTCACTTTGGCATTGGCAGTGAGCACGAGGGAAGCGTTTACCTCGCTCTGTAGCATGTGGGCTCTCTTTGCCCACTGCATCTTCATGTCTTCTGGGAGCACAGTATATTCATGGAGTCTCTTCCTGTAATCTTGATCACTTGCTAAGGCTTGGGCCCTCCTAGCATGGACTAGATTCACCATATCCATGGGCAGATGATAATGAGACCTGAATTCCTGGGACCCTTTCTTATACTCTTGTTCACTTTGTAACTTAGCAGCATGGAAGCAGTGCAGCAACCTGGTGTCATCCAGAATGCTTCTGGCACCGATGTGCTTCCCTCGCTCAGTCACAAAGGTGTGCTTGTATTGATACTGCAAAGAAAAGGAGACAGCGATAAGGTGCTTCTGCAGCCACGTTTCACTTCAGCTTACGTGTTTTTAACTCAAGAAAAACAAAAGGGAATGTGAAAAGAGATGCAAATGACAAAACCTATGCAAAAAAGCAGCATTGTGCTCCCTATACCCTTTAGCTTTGTGACCGCAACCCAGTTGCTGCAGACAGAAAATAACAATTTTCCCTGGATAGAAGATTATTTTGAGAGAAAAGACAAAGACAGTGGTCTCAGCGCAGGAATAAGCACCAGAAACTTATGAGTTTTCATCAGTGCTCTGACTAGGCCTCTCTCTATGATCTTACTTTTATCCTCGATGTGAAATGGCAATGAGACTGATAATGATGATTTATGTAGCATCAACAACATGCTTGAAACTTTAAAGAAAGGGTCCGGGCCCTAAGGAGTTTAGTAGGTAGGCTAAATGGGATAATAACACTTAGCTATCACACAAGGGAGTTGTGGGGATTAAATTATAGTAGCTAATGTTTACAAAGTGCTTTGAAGATGAAGGGCCAAATTCAGTCTTGCTGTAAGTGGATGTAATGTTATTATACAGTTGTACCCTTTTAGAGTAGAACTGAAGCTGCGACTAAGAGCACCGTGTAATCACTAAATGTAGTTGCTTCAAGAAGCACAAACACATGTTTAAAGCCTTCAAAATTGCACTGTTTTGGGTGTAACAAAATACGCAGCTTGATTCTATGCAACTTTAAGTATTTTGATTTCATTTTAGTTTGATTAGGGGTATTCCTTATAGCTTTTTTTTTTTTTTTTTTTTTTTTTTTTTAATTCATTGCAGAAGCAGAAAGGACTTAAAGCTATTGACAGGTGAATGGTGTCGTGTGCTGCAAGTGATAGAGAGACAATTGCAAGAAAGAGGGAAATGTGCATTCATTCTTGGGAAGTTATTGTGACATGCAGTTCTTATTCAGAGACCACCTGCCACCTGGTTTTCAAAGGCAATGGGTATACAAAGCATCATTTTGACCCGTGTGTACTCTGCAAACCATGCCAAAAGCAAGTGGCTATACAGTTATGGTCATGTTTTTTAAATGTGGGAGATCCAGACCCTAGTGAGATGGAAAAATCTTCCCCAGCTTGCCCATATGCATATACTTTAAGTCACTGCCTGTTTCCCACTGGACAATATTTGACAGAGCTTGGTTTCCGATTAGCTGTGACTCCTTTTTCTAATTCACACAAAGGATCTCATTCATAAGTAATATATTCTGTCCCACATTCTTGTCTCACATGGTTATAGGGTCGCTTTAATTCAGTAAATCTGCCTGAGACATTGTTTTACATGAAGTTAACAGAAATTAGGCAAGATGGAAGGTTGAATCATTCAACTCACATCACTGGCAATTTCTCTGGAGGCCTTGGCAGCCTGGAAAGGGATTGCTTCCATTGTCAGCTTGTAGCCTTGAGTACGTAGATTATGCCAAGATTCCCTGTATTTTATCTAAAGCGGAAAAGGTGCATGTAAGAGTCCAGCTTCATTTTTAAATGCCGGATGAGGAAGGAAACAAAGAACAGTTCTTGCATTTGTTGGACATTAGGCAGTCAATTCTTCACAAGCAAAGATCTTTTTTTTATTATTATCTATAGCAGCTCTTACTAACTGACTGTGTACGGCCTATTATTTACGCCGATGTGAATGTTTCAGACCTGCATATATGCAAAGGTATACAAATATAATCACGGCAGAGAAAACGGAAATGGATTAGATCTGGTAGGTTATTGAGACCTCACTCCTCAGCAAAATACCAGCTCATGTTTAAGAAAGAAGGGATGCTTACGTCACTGAGGTTGGCTGCATTTATTCGTGCCTGTGTAAACTCAGGTAGACCGAGGGGTAGCGTGTAGCGATGCAGACAGTTCTCTCCTGCTGCTTTATACAGGCGCTACAAAAGAGATGAAAGAAAATAGCTGCAACACCTTTCTACAGTGTTTAAATAACACAGCAATGGACCACAATTTAAATGGCTGGTTAAAACGAAACTAAACATCACTAATGGCTGAGGCTGCATGCGGGGGGTGGGGGGATGAGAGGTGTTTTGTTTGTTGGGTTGCGAGGAATACTTCTGGCTGCATTTTCATATCAAGATCCTGTCCCCTGAATTGATGCTGCCGTACTCCAGTGTGTTCATAGAAGATCAAAAGACCTCAGGAAGTTATCTCAAATTCTGTGAATACGGGAGAGGAGAGAGCCTCAGTTTCTGAAGTACCTAGATTTTCCCTTCTGTCGGCGTGCATGGCATTTGACAGGGCACTCAGGAATTTTGCAGAAGTTAGCCAAGAGGTTATTGCCTTAGGTGGTCTTTGGAGCAGATGATTGTATGTAAATCAACCCCCTCAAGTACATCCTCCTTGTAGCTGCCTTCTTTGCATTCAAGGAGAGAAAACTGATTGAAGGACTTCAAATGGGGGCTACTTATGCTGCTGTAAAGGAGAGATCTGATTGACCAAATGGCATGAAATGGTTGTCCAGGAACAGTAAAAGGTGAATTAACCGTGCAAAAGCACAGATCAGTGCTGCTTTCTTTCCTCTTGATATGCCGTGGTTCTTAGAACGAGGTTCTCTCCTTCCCACTCCTTCCTCAGCTCATTGCATTTTAAAAAGCATATTTTCTGATTCATGCTTGTAGAGCCTACCTCATTAGCAATCATATTGCTGAATTTTGCATGAAGGAGGCCAGGAGAGTCTGTCACCGATGTGTACTTGAAGGAATGTGGCTGCTGACGATATTTACTCTGAGTTCACACACAAAGAAAAATGAACAGAATTGCTAAGTTGTCTTGTCAGATAAGGGACCTGTCTCCCTAATGCTTTGGTGTTACTTCTCATGCTTAAAGCCATGCTTTGAAAAGGGATAATTATCTATTAACCATTAAGCCAGTTCACCTCTTGCTCTCATGAACCTACTGGATTCATGTTTCATTAGTGAAAATGAGGTATAAAATTGGAACAATGTATAGTTTAAGAAAGTGGTCTCCTATTCTGAGCACAAAAAATAGATTATTCCTCCTTTATGAAACCTGGCACTGACTGGTGAAATCCGGACCTTCCTAACATGGACTCTGTCGACTGCAACTTTTACTGTTCATTCTTAGGAAAAGTTACAGTTTCACTTGCCTTTAAAAGCTAGGTGAGAACTGCGAGCAAATGCCAGACCCAATTGCAAAGGGTCCGATCATCAGAGATGGGCAAACTCATTTTGCCTCATTTCAAAGCTATTTGCACACGGGAGCAGGAGTGTGCAAGTAGGGTCTGTGGTTTGCTTTGAAGTCCGGTGTGCCAGGCTAGCTTTTAGGGAACATTACTGTACACCTAATAGTGTCCAGGCACCCTTTGAGCTGGAAAGGCATGCTTTTAACATAAAATAAACCACTTTAAAATGCCAACCGCGTGGGGCTGAAACACAGGAGAAAAAGGGTTGTGTAAACACTTAGCAAAGTGTACAAAACCTTGAACTTCATCAGGTTCACTTATCTGTAGTGAGCACATAAATGGATTGATCAAACAAAGGGGAGGGAGCCTTGCATTAATCCAGTAAGTCAGTTTGCCAACCCAGTTTAATAGAAAGACATCTGGCAAACTCTTGTTTGTAGTGGAGAAATCAAAACCCTCTTTTGTTACCTCGCTGATGAGTTCAGAAGCTTTCTTCTTCCCTTCAATTTCTAGGGCCCCTGGAGTAATACAGCCAACTCCTCTCATAAAGTTCATGTCAGACCTGTATAAATTCTTTGGGAATCCAAGCAAAAGCAATTACAAGTTTGCATTTGAGATGTCCTGTAATTATTCATCAAAAAAAATTACACAAGGAGATTATTTAAATAAATCCATTAGAAGTAGTATCTACTACAAAGACGTTATGTACTTTACACTAAGTTGATTGTGACTGTCTCTATGGGCCAGACCTTATTCCACTTATCAGGCATCTTTGTGGATTTGGGTGCCTAAGTGAAATCTTATTGCACCCTGCTTAGGTCCCTGAAAAAGTGAAATACAAGTGATCCTATCAATAGTGCAACCATGCAGGGGAAGCCAGTGGGGAACAGGGCATTAGCCCCAAGTGCCACCTTGGAGGGGAGGGAGTACAGAAGCAGTGGCTGCCACGGTCACTGTTGCTGTCCCACCTACAGCCACCACCAAGGGCACAAAACCACCCAGTCACACCTTGAGACTCTCCAAAGGGCTGAGCTGACCTATAGGAGCATTTTTGCTTGCACAGGCAGTGCCAAGGATATTTCTGAGCTGCAGGACCTCCAAATAACAGGTTTTATAACACTGACATTTTTAAAAACAGGCTTCTTGCAAGATATGAATTGATAACTTTTGGATGCATAGCAAATCCTGCAGCAAAGGTTTGTACAGTCAACAGAGTCTAAACACCGGACGGTTAAATGCTTCCCACTTGTAAAACCTGTGCTGCCAGTTAGCAAACAAAACTGTAACGAGAAGTAATATAAGGTGTAATTATACACTGTCCAATCACCCTTGTAAGCTAGCTATTTCCTTATTCGGTGTAATCAAGGGGAAACAGTCATTATTTATCTCACAGTTGCTGTTCAAATAGATATCCATAGCTATAATAGTACAGAATAAAAGTAGCCCGTGTCAGGTGGCAGTGACACTGAGCTGAATGGAGTTACCTCACTCTGTAGTTTAGATGCTTTCTTGGCACACTGTAATCTCAAATCATCAGTCAGGGAAGTGTACTGGTGAAGCAGCTGTCTGTATTCCAGATCACTGACCAAAGCTTGGGCTTTCCTGGCATGGACTAAATTTATCATATCCAGCGGCAGATGGAACTGGGCTTTTCTGTGCTCAGAACCTTGCCTGTATTTTACCTAGTAAAGAAAAAAATATCAGTTTACTTTATAGGCTACTGGACAGTTTAAAATTCAAGTGTTGCTCACAGGGAAAGATTTAAACAACTGAGATTTCACCTGTCTTTATGTTCCAGTTAAAGCTGAATACAATGACGGTGAAGCAATTCATTTATATGCAAAACTAGAAATCGCACAGTTGAACTGTTGGTTAATTATATTTTCACAAATGTGATTTGTAGTAATTCTACAAACCTCCACAAAAACTTTGGAATCGTCACATGATAATAAAAACCAAATGGCAACGTTTGAACCATTTGGGAGAAAATGAAAATCAAGTCAGATCTTCACCCAAAATCTCTTTGAAGTTTAAAAAAATGATAAAGTCCACCAACTGCATTAAGTTTATTTTCATCCTTCTCTTTACACTAATTGGTTCTGGCCATGAAAATGTAGCTGAAGTGCTAGGATCCTTCAAAGTTTGTATGCCAGAAGTTTCCTATCATTTATGCTGATTTGAGAGGTTCAGATACACATCCACTTTAAGCACATGAATAATCTCACTGAAGTTCACAAGACCATTTCGATGGTTATACGTATGTGGAAGAAACCTAATTCTACACCTAGTGTTTTTCCTCATTTGTTGTAAAGCCCACTATTGCTATTAGTTGCAATGACCTAAGAACTTAAAAAATACTCTGTTTCTAGTAAATTATAGTGATAATTTACTAGAATAACTGGCTCTGCCACCTGTTAAATAGCTTTAAAACATTTTCATAAGTTTAAAGTCAGGGAAATGTTTTGCTGATGCAGAGCATCTTTCAGGAAGTCATTATGCTGTACCTGGCATCAATATTCGGTACCTGCCTGTGTGACTAATAATCAGCATATAACTCTGTAAGTGCATTTGACATACAGCTTTTGGGAAGAATAGGAAGTGGGAAACAGCTGGTAAGTATTTGTAATCATTTTGTAATTGCCCTTTAGTTATATAGCCACAGAATACCTTGAAATAGTTGTCAGAATTGAAAGCTTGAGCAAAAATACAGCATAGGGCTGTTTTGCTCTAAGGATAGTTACTGTATTTAATAAAAAAGAATAATGATTATGTAATTATTGGAGTGGCCCAGTGCAAAGCAAGCTTTGGGTATCAAGGTACTGTGCCAAGAAACCTATCCAGAGTAACACCCACTTTCTATGCTGATGTGTCATTATTAGGCAGGCATTGCCACGTCCCTGTACTTACGTCACTTTGTAGCAAAGCAGCATGCACCGAATGGGCAATGTTAAGATCGCCCGTACTTACGTCGCTTTGTAGCAAAGCGGCATGCACCGAATGGGCAATGTTAAGATCGCCTTCCAAGCCACGCGAGCCAAACATCTGCCCCTTCATTTTCTCAAATGCCTCCTTGTACTTGTACTGGAAAGGGAAAAATAACAGGCATGTGATAAAGGACAGGTAAAAAAGAGAGGTAAGTATCAGTCAAGATTGTCTTTTTTTGAAAACAATAATAATAATTGTATGAATGAACGGAAAGAAAAAAAATGCTGACGTGCTCATAAAGTTTGTTCTTGTTCAGGGGTGTAGGTTGTCGCTGTGTCAGTTTAAGGACACAGGCAGACAAGGGTATTTCTTATGCAACTCAAGGCTATCTTTGGATGATGAATTCTGATTTCACTTGCAAAGATGTATTGTGCCATGCCAAGAGTTAAGAGATGGAAAAGTAATACGTCTTTAAGGATGCTAAGAGCTCCTTATCAGGTATTTTAGGTATTTTAACCAATTTAGAAAAATCTACAAAAGAATATAAAAGTGCAGAAAGCTGTGAAGAGGACTTAATCTTATTGCAAGCTCTTATATTATGAGGCTTTATCTTGGTTGTTGGACTGATGTTCTCTCCTACTGTATTTCTATTTAAAACTTTATGTTGCTACTGTCTTTTATACCAATGAAGTCTGCTATACCTATTTTTTCCTGAAAAATTCAGCTTCAAGGTACCAAGTAATTCAAAAGATTAATGTTGAATTCTGAAACCTATTAACTAGAGAGTTTTCCTTCATATCTGACCTAGATAGACCATGACGAAATCGTTAGCTATCCGATTTGACTGTTCAATAGCCTGTACTGAGTTGGTCATATCAGTATGTCTTCTTGTGAGTGGCTGTCACATTAAACACACAGTCACCAGTACAGCCTCTTGGATCTGCAGTCTCAAAAGCACTGTCAAAGGTTGAACGGATCCTTCTCAGCCATAGTGCTGGATGGACATACTGTTTCCCCAAGCACTCACTCAGCACAGCCAAAACAGGCTTAAGTACTGGTACTTTCTACTGGAAAATATTAGTAGAAAATTCACTTACATCACTTATGATTTCACTTGAAGCTTTTGCTGCCTGGAAAGGAATAGCATCCAATTTCAATTTATATCCACCATCTTTCATCTTGCTCCAAGATTCCTTGTAGTGAATCTGTTTGGAAATATTGAACAAATCAAAATGAATTTACTGCTCTGAAAATTACTGTTGTATCTTTGCTGTTATTATAAAAGCTTTATTGTATTTGCTTCTTTTTATTCCAGCAGATGGACCTCATTGAAGTAAAGCTACCAGTACAACACAAATATAAACCAGAACACAAGTCTTAGTAACAGGGGCATTAATGATTTCTTTGGTAGTTTATTCTTGATCTTTCTAGGGGGTCTAACTTCTTCATGTTTGCTTCACTACTTTATTTTGAAGCCCTAAAATGATCATATGGGGCGGACAGGAAGGGAATTTCCCATGATGTATGGTTTTGTATAACTGGCAAAGAACTCGCTTAATTTTTTCACTTTTCACCAAAATGTTAAGGGCTGAATTTTGACATTCTTACCTCACTGATATTCATAGCATTTAATTTAGCTTGAAGGACTTCAGGAAGATCTACTGTAGGTGTATAATGATGTTTTATGCTCTCTCCATGCTCTTTGTATAGTCTCTGGAAAAAGCAGAAGAATCTCTGAATACTGAGTACACATCCAATCACCAGTTCAGCCAAAACCACCAAAATGTGCATTTATGAAAAAGAAAGCACACAAAGAAGTAGCAGCAATAATACTGGAAAGCACATTAATCCAGATACTTTGGAAAATCTTGGAGCCCAATACTCCTCTCAAATTAGAAGAAACTCCAGAGAAGTGATATGGATACAAAACCAAGGAGAGTGAGACCCTACAATTCTCCAGGGGCATTTGATAAATATTTCATTACATGCAAATAAAGAGACAGCTAATTACTAACAGCCTTTTTATTAAAAATGTGTACCCGTGAGAGACTAGATTATCTGAGGTGCTGACCCACCTACAAATTCTCATTGAACTCAGTGGGAATTGAGGCTCCGTGGACTTCCTCTTTCAAAGATTGTCAATTCTCAGTAAAACCATGCGGAGACACTGTTACAACATCACCTTGCAGTGCTCCCACGTTATCCACCAAAACAAAAGAATACAGTCGTATGAACCGTTAAACCAGAAACTCAGGAGGATTTGCCATATTTGCTGCTATGCATGGCACCAATGCACATGCTGCTATGCATGGCACCAATACACATGCTGCATTTACTCAAATCTAAGATGATGTTACTCTCCCTATTCAACAGAGGGGGGAAAAATCCCCTTGTCTTGGATTTGAGTGCAGGAAGGAGTGAGGGAAGGGGAGACGAGCAGGCAGCTGTGGCAGCTCTGGTTCCGGATCTGTCTCCAGCCCCAATCCCAACCCCGACCCTGACTTGGGGTCAGAGTTAAATCCGCAGAAGCCACTGCCTCCTGCCTCCACCTGCCCTTTGCAGCTTCTAGTTCCCTTTTCCCCATCTACCTCCCTCCGCTTACCATCAGGTGTGGCACTGGACTGGCTCAACCATGCAGTTGTGGTGGTGGCCACATGGCTAGGCTCCAACCCCTGCTGCATGGCTAGGCTGGGCCTGGGGTCGGGGTGACTCCACTACCTCTCAGCTTCCCCTGGCATTTGGCTTTACAGTGTTACCTACTGGGGAAACTAGTATACATCAACTTTTGAAAGCAAGAGGTCTTCATCTCCTCTCCCAACACCCGCACCTTCCCTAGGGCATGTTCTGATGTTTGCAAGGACTATACCCCCTAGACTGGAAATAACCTCTCTGCTTCTCAAGTGCTGCTTCTTAGCTGTGGAAGGGAACAATGTGTAGGTGCTTTATGAGCAGAAAGCCCATCTGAGCTCCACACATGGAGTATCTGTGAGACTGAGCTGATATTTCTCAGTAGAGCAAACTGATTCACATTTACCTGCTTTAGTTGTAGGCCCTTTGAATCTTATTAGCTCTACCAAAGGCATAAGTACTGTAATATCACAGCTGCATTTGTTTTACACAAAGCTCTGCTATCTTCTTTATTTAAAAAATACCTATGTTCACAAGTGTTTTGCCTCATCAATAAAACATCTCTTGGTTGGAACTTGTCTTTGTTGAGTGACTTTTGCTTACTGTTCATCTCCACATTATCTCAGTTAAGTCTACAACAATTTGAAATAGTCCTTCTATTTAAAAATAAACAGGTTTAAAGACCAAACAGCTTCAATTTTTCCCTTTTAGGTTCCCCCGCCTGGATTTCTCTCTCAGCAGGATGACAGCTTGAAATTATTAATTTATTTTTTCTTCCTTGCCATGCCACTCCATACTCTTTATCTCAAGCCTCAGCACAAAAACCCATAATGTAGAACATCTTGGTTTGAAAATGATAAAGAAACCAAATTGCTTCTTTCTTACTGGATTTCAAAAGGTCAAAAAGCTCTCAATAAAGCAAGCAGGTCAGTTCCCCTCTGAAATCAGACTCCAGCAACATATTTTTGCATAGGCTGCCCCGTGGAGTTTGCACTGACCTGTGTAAGGGGCAAGCTTTCCAGTCTAAGAAAAAAACATGCGCTTTGTAAGGTGCACCTCACTATAACATAGGAGTTTCATGGTTCCCAAGAATAATCTTAGAAAGAGAAAGCCAGTTCTTCAATCAGGGCGTTCAAAGAGGATACCATTCTTATAATCATAATGTATATACATTATAACTTACATCCACAGCCTGGTTATAACTAATTCTAGCCTGGATCATCTCAGGAGTGTCTTTAATACTGGTAAACTTCAAAGCATATGGATGCTGACGGTACTTCTTCTGTTGAGCAGAAAAAAGATCAAAGCTGTGAATTTTGTGCTGCTCTTTCATGCTATTTGAAAGAGAAAAATCATAGGTTGCTCAAGATTAGAGTGAATTTGTGAACATAATTATTATTCCTCTTTCCTCATCTTTATGTCCCAGGTACTTTCAGATTAATATTTGTTTCAATTTAACAATAACCTTTTGCTGATTAATATTAAAGTATTTCTTCCTAAACATAAAGAAAACATTGCAAGATCAGATTATGCCTCCTAAAATACTTTGGGACCTGGGCTTTGAAAGCCTTTTTGCAAATGGCTTCAAATACAGAACAACTGATTGCATTTTTTATTCATAGTTCCTTTAAGCAAGACCTGGTGTCCAATTGTACTGCGCTAATAATGGCACTGGGTAACTCATTGTTTGAAGCTTTGCATTTCCCCCTAACATCTAAACATGGCAAAATGTTTATGGCTCCATGGTCACCCATATATGCTTACTTTTTGCTGATTTTATATGAGCTAATTTTAATTCTGTTTATTTGAAGGGACGTACAGTAGCTTCTGAGGGCATCTATACGCATGCTCTGGAGGTGGGGAAGGCACTCCAAGAGCCACTCTAATTAAAGCATCTGGAGCATCTCATGCATCACCGTCCCCATGCTCCAAAATGGCAGCAGGGGCACTTTATCTAAAGCTCATCAAACGAGCTTCAAAGAAAGTGCCCTCATATCCATTTTGAAGCACGGAGACGTTGATACACAAGGCGCGAAGGCTGCCTGGAGTGCGGCAATTAATTACCATGCTCCAGCAGACTTGATTAATCAAGTCTGCACCAATGCACTGTAATTACAGCGTTCCAAAGCAGCTTCCATGCTCATGTATAGGCACTGAGTGACCTTGAAATATAAATAATGCAAATAGAGGTGGCATATTAGCAAGCTGACACCTAAGGTAAGTTCTCAAGTCAATATATATTGGGATGGTTATGGCAGTTTTGGAAACTTTATATTTCAGCATCCAAACCTAAAGCCCTGAAAACCTACTTTAAATAAATCACGATCAACAAAAAACTAAATACTTGTCAAGGTTCAAATGTGATCTTTAGGATCCTTTAGATTTAAAAAGTTGACAAGGCTATGAAGTACATAATTACTTTTATATACTCCTCACCACAGTTTTTAGGTTTCAAAGTAACTCTTAGCCAATGAGCAACTTGTAATTCCCATTGACTTTACCTGGAGAGGCAGGCGGCTTAATAGCTATCAGAATTTGTCCGGGAATGAAGAAGAGCTCTGCAGTAATAAACAGCTAGGATGCTGCTTTATCAAATGGTCGATATAGTTCTCCTAAAGCTGCTTAAATCATATTACAAGATGTATTCATATAATTGTGAAAATTAATATAGATTATAAATAATATAAAAGTGATGGATTAACAGCTTTGGAGTCCGAAGTTGCACCACTTGCTATTGCTTGCATTACTGTTGCAACACAGCAGGAAAGCAAGGATTGCCATACAAACCTAGGTCCAGCCTCATCTAGGGGGACCAATGCAAAAGACAGTCTTCACAGCCAAGCAAGCCCTTGGTTTCTTTGCCAATGATGATGCCTAACTAATGCCAATGAAGAATAATTATTTTTGTGAACTTTTGCACCATATAATAATAGCGGTCCAGATTCAGGCCGGCATTGTTCTACTGGCTTCAGTGAAACTACCAGAGGAGGATCTGGCTCAGTCTCTAGAAATATAGTTTCTCGCTACAGAAGATACTACCCTCGGACCCAGAGGGTAGTAATCGATGGAAGTCACTCATCGTGGTGTCCTGTGACCAGTGGGGTCCCCCAAGGCTCTGTCCTTGGACCCATACTGTTCAACATCTTCATTAATGATGTGGACACTGGAGTCAGAAGCGGACTGGCCAAGTTCGCTGATGACACCAAACTTTGGGGCAAAGCATCCACACCAGAAGACAGGCAGGTTATCCAGGCTGACCTGGACAGGCTCAGCAAGTGGGCGGACGAGAATCTGATGGTGTTCAACGCCGATAAATGCAAGGTTCTCCACCTTGGGAAAAAAAACCCGCAGCATCCTTATAGGCTCGGCAGTGCTATGTTGGCTAGCACTATGGAAGAAAGAGACTTGGGGGTCATCGTTGACCACAAGATGAACATGAGCCTGCAATGCGATGCGGCGGCTAGTAAAGCGACCAAAACGCTGGCTTGCATCCATAGATGCTTCTCAAGCAAATCCCGGGACGTCATTCTCCCCCTGTACTCGGCCTTAGTGAGGCCGCAGCTGGAGTACTGTGTCCAGTTTTGGGCTCCACAATTCAAAAAGGATGTAGAGAAGCTTGAGAGAGTGCAGAGAAGAGCCACGCGCATGATCAGAAGTCAGGGAAGCAGACCCTACGACGACAGGCTGAGAGCCCTGGGGCTCTTTAGCCTGAAAAAGCGCAGGCTCAGGGGTGATCTGATGGCCACCTACAAGTTTATCAGGGGTGACCACCAGCATCTGGGGGAACGTTTGTTCACCAGAGCGCCCCATGGGATGATGAGGTCGAATGGTCACAAACTACTTCAAGATCGTTTCAGGCTGGACATAAGGAAGAACTTCTTTACTGTCCGAGCCCCCAAGGTCTGGAACAGCCTGCCACCGGAGGTGGTTCAAGCGCCTTCATTGAACACCTTCAAGATGAAACTGGATGCTTATCTTGCTGGGATCCTATGACCCCAGCTGACTTCCTGCCCTTTGGGCGGGGGGCTGGACTCGATGATCTTCCGAGGTCCCTTCCAGCCCTGATGTCTATGAAAATCTATGAAAATTACATAGGAAAATGTCAATGCGGTCCACAGCCCCATGCTAAAGAATAATTGCATCTCTGCTGAAGAGATAAAACATGTGGTTCCTCATTATTCTCAGTGTGTTCATGGATGGTTCCCCCTCTACGCATCACCAATGGTCATCCACGGGGTCGTAAGTCTTTATTTTGCTACTGAAGTTGATCTGGCCAACAGGACTCCCCTTAAAAAAAATGACACACCACAAGCCCTTGAACTGATTGTGCCAGTGACTCCTTTGAAGGGCTGCAAGAACTGGCACAAAGGATTTTGGAACTCATCTGAAAAGCACACTTTTCAAGTGGGTGAATGTGGGGTCATGGGGAGAATAAGGATAAGAACTGATAAGGCAGATGGATACAGATCGAGAGAGATCCGTATGAATTTCAATTCTGCTGTGAATATATGAGAAAAAGAGAGCAAGAAAGAACTTGTATATGTTACAAAAGGAGGTTCTGGGTGCAATCACTGCATCTTTTCATCATCTCTCCTGTTCTGCTTCATTAAAAAGGTAGGCTAGTGGGTAGCAATTGAGCACTGTTTGATTTCCATTATTATTCATAATATCATTTGTCACCTACTTTGTTTTTGCAAAGGCTATATGGACTCCTACTGGTGTGTGTTTGGTATCTGGCTTCCCTCTAATTACCAGTCCTATTCCTAGTTTGGAGGGCTTTCATGTGGTATGCCTTTTTCTTTCCCCTTTGAGTGGAAATTATTTTAATTTTATACAGACATTTTGCACGCATTATGCAGCAAGTTCTGTTACATGCTGTCATGAAATCTCACCTCGCTAATGAGTTCTCCTGCCTTCTTAGCCTGCTCCACATTTAATGACCCAGTGGCTATCCATCCAGCTCCTTTCATCCAGTTCAAATCTGCTCTGTATCGGTTCTGACAAAGAAAAAAAAAATGCCCCATTGTTGGTGCTCATACATTTAAAGTGCCATTAAAGGATTCAGACATCTCAGGAACACCAACCGAGTCAAATTAGTGCCTGCTTTTGTTTTATTCGCTTCTACACAGTTGCAGTTAAGGCAAAAAAATTATAGCGATGGCCACATCACCACCTACTAACAGTTCTAGGGTGTGCTTTGCAAGGTGATCTTTTAAAAAGATTGGCCCAGTCCAATACTGTCATCTTTAATTCTTACCCTGAGCACAAAGAGATTTGCTTTCTTATGTACAGAGGCTTGCCAGAAGGGCCTTGTTTCAAAGGATCTTGCAGGACAATGAGGAGTTGTGACACAGAATCACATTAGAGCAGTTCACCCGCACTTAATACTTTGTGTCGCAACAGTCTCGGCTGCTTTCGGCCAACATTGCTAGTGGTGAGGGGTACTTACCTGAACACCTGTCCCTAAATTTTCTGCTCAGCAACAGTAGGAATGCAACCCCCACCCCCAATAAACCGCAAAAATAAAATAAAAATAAATAAATTGATTTTTCCATGGTAACTGAGATTTCCAAAAGAGACTAGAGGGTTAGACACCAAACTCCCACTGAATTTGAATAGGCCTTGGACACCTAACTTCCTTAGACTCCTTTGAAAATCACAGCCTAAATCCTTAAAGAATGCAAATCTGGTTTACAGAAAACACAGACCATCTTTAATGGTTAAGCCAGAGCACTTAGACTACTGATTGTTGAGTTCTGTACTCAATTTCATCACCACTTTGGGTAAATTACTTGGCTTCTCTGTCCCTCACTCCATGCTTTTGCCAAAGGTGAAAAATAAACCTCCTGCATAGGTGAGCAGGTTACTTAGTGTTGGCTGTAGACTTTGTGAGTAGTGTTTAAAGATGCTACACTAAAGCAAAACAATTATGGCAAGACTTATTTTTTAACTACAACTGAGCTGTACAAATACATGCTGGTTCCTGAAGATCCAAAAGCTGTCTCTCTAATTAGCGGAGGCCAGGATTTAGACACTTTTTGTGTGACATTTAGGCAGTTTAGCTATTTGAATTCCAAAAAAACCATTCAAATTGGCCCTGTATCAGCAGCGATCACATTTAATTGCCACCTCCACTACGGACCATAAAGTTCCTATATGATTGTGCTGGCGTGTCTATGCATGTGGTGGTACGCACTGGTTTCAGAGCAGCTGACTCCTCCCTACGCTCTAGTGTGGTTGCAATGAAGTGCACCTTTTTCCCAAGAACTTAGCACAGGGGCGGGCAACTATTTTGGGCGGAGGGCCACTTACTGAGTTTTGGCAAGCCATCGAGGGCCACATGACAGGCAGCCCAGGGGCAAATTAATATTAATTTTCTAAATTTTTTAGGGGCCCTGTGGGCTGGATGGAATGGCCTGGTGGGCCACATCCAGCCCGTGGGCCGCATTTTGCCCACCCCTGACCTAGCAGTTACCACTCACCTAGGACATGTGAGATCTGGGATCTAAGCCCTCTTCATCTTGATGGGATTTCAACCCACATCTCCCATTTCCCAAGGGAAGACCCTAACTGCAAGGCAATTGAATAGCCTGGGTAAGGTCACTCTCCATCTCTCCGTAGCCTGGTGATTATTGCACTGCCCTGCTTCCAAAGTTGTTCATGCATTTCAGAGGACAGGCACTGGTTAAACACAGACATTACCCTGGCACAGAAACTAGAAGTTAGGACTCTGCCAAGGGACTGCTGTAACCACTGGGATACAGAGGCATGCTTCTCCTTGCTTGTGCCTAGCGCTGCTAACACATTTTACATTAGACAGGTATTGATTTAAAAAATAATAATAATCCTAGCCACAGGGTCTGGATCACAGGACTCCTCTCTCCCAGGAGAAAGGCATCCCCTGCAAGGCTACAAAGGCAGACTTCCTTCTCCTTGCTCTCCTGCCCACAGCACTCTTTCACTCGTAGCTGCCCCGTCAACAGCAGATAAGAGGCATGTCTTCACCTACTCGATTCTGCAGCTTGTTGGCCAGGGCACTCTCCTGGGAGATTTGGGTTCAAATCCCCTCTAACTATTAAGTTACTGGGCAAAAGATGGTCATGATTTTCTTTCGAAGGTCCCAGCCTTCAGAAACCATTTGGCAGTGCGTGAATGGTGATGTGTAAAGGCAAACATGTGTCAGGTGCCTAGTGTCCTGAGAGGGGCAGGTGTGCAAACACCCGCATTTAGTATTTCCTACTGGCTAGCTCTAGTTGTCTCCAGACTTTCTTAATTACCCTTTGGAGGTCTCTACCACTCCCTGTTCTCTGTGTAGAGAACCTGGGTGCCTAAACCTGAATCTTTTTAAGGCACTTTGAAATCCCTGTACTGACTCTGCAGGTCCTAGGTACCTAATGCAGTCAAACTGATTCATCCACTAAAGGAAGGAGACTATTATTTCAGTGTTGCCCCACCTAACTATAGATACATAGGTTTGAATCCTGGCTTTAGCGAATATAAACTGGAATGTTTTCTGGTCCTAATTGAATAAATCAATAACTTAGTGAATCCTCACCTAGAAAAATTCTCAACCATGCAAAAGGGCTAAAAAGCATGAGCTTGTAAACTTACATCACTTTGCAAGCCATAGGCCCTTTTAGCCCATTCCACCTTCATGTCAGTAGGCAAGGCAGTGTAATGATGCAGCATTGTCTTATATCCTCTGTCTGTGGCCAAATTCTGAGCCTTTCTGGCATGCACAAGATTGATCATATCCATGGAGATGTGATACTGAGTCTTTACGTCCTCAAATGCCTTTCTGTACTCCAGGTCACTCTGTAACTTGGACATTTGAAAGGAATGAGCCATCTGTGAGTCTTCCTTTACACCTTTCACTCCAATCAATTTACCCTTGTCCTTCTCATAACTTTCCTTATACTTTATCTGTAAAAAAGTGAAAAAAAATGGCCCATAGATTACAAAGAGAGGCAGATAGGTTGTAGTCATTAACAACAAAAAATAGTGGTCCATTAAATTAAAACAAACAAGGTCTTTCCATTCGTTGTCCTTTTCCAGGCTCCCTCAAAATGTATTTGGATTTTTTTTTATTTGGTAAAATACTGCAGAAATAAGACTCTCATTTGTAAATTGATCTCTTCCCAGAGGTGCACTTGATCTTACATTAATGCAGGAGAGAAAAGAGAATAAGATCTAGTCTCTAAAGCATTCTGAATCTTCAGTGCAAGCAATCAAAATGTCTGTTTGCAAAAGGGAATTAGAGTAGCTTAGAAACCCTTAGGCTTATATAAAAAAGAAACCTCTCTCAATATTACATGTCATCAAAAAGATGAAAAACTCAGCCCAAATTATCTATATTTCTAAGAAAACCAATATATTCTGAGGACTTTTTCTATGTCAGAAAGTTCTTTCAGGAATTTTCTGGCTGGTGGGCCAGACCAATGACTTAAATGGATTATTCTGCAGTGTTATAAGGGAGGTTTTCAGTTTCCAATTTTGAACATTCACCCACATGTGTAGAAGAGTTGCAAATGGGGAAGCAGCTGCATGGTCAGTCTTTGGTCATACGTTTTCTTTTGGCCAGTTATTGAATACCTTTCGTTTACAGAACCTTTCCATTGTTCTTGACTGAAAGAGGAACAAAGGTGACTTGAAGCACTGAGGAAGATGGGCAAAATGAGAGCCACTGGAAGGGACCCCTTAGCACCATGATATGGACATGGCATACTACCTCTCCCAGCTCTTGCAATTCATACTCACATCACTTGCCAGATCCCTCTTTGCTTTAGCTGTCAAGAAAGACAATGCATCAAGACGAAGTTCAAATCCTTTCTCCTTCTGTTTCTCCCAGCTACTCTTGTACAGGTTCTAGAACGATGATAATAATGTGACCACGTTATGATTATTAACTTGTGTTATCCTCTTTACAGTAGCACTTAGAAATTTCAGACAAGATGCTGATACCCTACCATCAACTAGTAGTAACTTATCCTACAAAGTACCAAATTAATTCCCATGGAATTACTCATAGGATGGTGGGATGACTCGCTTAAATGAAGTCAAGCATGGATTGGGACCTAAAAAGGACAAGGCCGTAGATGAGCAGTAGGATGTCTGGGCATTTCAGCAAAAGTGAACAAAATGTTTCTGGAGTTGTTGCATTTAAACATCCATATCCGCTTAGTGAAATACCACTCAACTATAAACACCAAAGGATAAAGCGACATGGCTTAGCCCTATCAATACAGTACCTGACTAATATTTGCAGCATTTGTCCTGGCTTGTATGAAGAGAGGTTCATCTTTGCTGATGGTGTAATGATGAAGGTACTGCTCTTTCC